AAGCATTTTATGCAAAAAATAGATGGTTTGTACCATTAAGCTCATGCCGACCAATTGATAGGGTTAAAATGTATATATTTACATATTTTATTTATTATCTTTATTTTATGTGTCTGCGTGTATTACCTGCATGTAAGTGCACCCATGTCATGCAATGACTGAGGAGGACAGAAAGGCTGTTGGTTCCCCTGGAACTGGAGTTATGGATAGTTGTTAGCTGCCATGTGGGTGCTGGGATTTGAACCCGGGTCTTCTGCAAGAACAACCAGTGTTCTTAACCGCTGAATAATCTCCCCAACCCCTAAAAATATTTTTTAATGATAGAGCTAGCATCAAAGGCAATAAGCTATCTGTTATTGTGTAACTTAAATGCACTTTGACAAAGAAGAGATAGAATACATTCTTTTTCAATATTTTTTTTATTATTTCTATTTTACATGTATGACTGTGTTGCCTGCATTTGTGTAAGTGCATCCATGTCATGCAATGCCCACGAGGTCTGTAGAGGGCATTGGATTCCCTTGGAACTGGAGTTACTTATGATTGTTAGCCACTCTGTGGGTGCAGGGAATCAAACCTGTGTCTTCTGCAAGAGCAACCAGTGCTCTTAACAGCTGAGCCATCTATCCAGTCCCAGATCACATTCTTGAGTGGGCTGCAGGTGTTCAACTACTGATTCACTGCACTTTACAATTCACTAGCTAAAGACCTCAGCCATAGCATCAGAGAAACTAAGTTATTATTTAATCTAAAGGAAGACATTTGTAAACTTTTAAGGAATGAATATATTCTGATGCCATGTATTTATGTTAAATTCCTTAAAAACCTTAAGAACTCTAATAGTGCTGTTAGAATAAAGTTTCTGTATTATAACTAATGACCTTGGCTAGAAACTCACAGCGTCATAGTAACACATTTCTTGAAAATATAAAAGTGAAAAACAATGTATGTAAAAGTGAGATGCATTTTGAAATGTAACCAAGAATGGATTATGAAGCACTCAGTTTGGCATATGTTTCACACAGTATTTCTGTTATGACGATGACTCAGGAACACTGGAAGAGATTTATTTATTTTTATTTATTTGTTTATTTTTATTATTTGTATTTATTTTATTAGAAGACGCATTTCATTACAGCTTTAACGTACTCAATAACAATTTCCAGAGCAAAGATACATCTCTTTCAAAAGTGGCTATAACATTTTTAGGTTCACAGTTGAATTAATACAGTTATAAAAAATTTAACTCAGTATAAAACCTGTAAGACAAAAATGAATGAGGTTTAAACTTTAAAAAAAATCTCTATTTTATTTTTAAATATACTGTTTCTTACAGAAAGACTCATTGTTTTTTCTAATAACATTTAGATGTTGGCGCATGTGTCTTAAACACCCACAAGGAATGTATAACCAAGGATTAAAGGAGTCCATATAATTTTTAAAGAGTCCATATGTATAGCTAAAGGCTACATAACAAGAAACAATGACAGGTAAGAGATACTTTCTTTTCAGTTGTTGACCAGGGTGACTCAAAAGACTCCCAGATAGTAACCCAGTATAGAACTGGGAAAATGAACAGCAGACGCCAATCTTATCTAAAGGAATATTGACAACTGATTGCTACTAGACGAGGAACAGCTGATCTTCCCAAAACAAAGACCTCTAGACAGGCTGATTAGATTCACCAGATGGACAAGTACTGGGGAAAGGCTGGGGGTGCCGACAAGACAATGGAAGATCTTTATTAATAATATTAATTATAGTTATATAACTATAAGTGATAATTATATAATAAATTACAAGTAACCACAAAATTCAGTTATTTTACTAATAATATTATAGTAATATATATCATATATATTTATATAATAAATTATAATTATACTCAAAATGGAAATACTGTTATATTTGACCCCAAGTTAAAATAGCTCATGGACTGTGAAACATTTTAAAAGCTAAGGATTCTTAGAATAGAATTCATTTGGTTATCAAAAATTATGCAAAACAATAAAATAAAATACAGGATTTTTAAATCAGTAGATTTAATTGAAGGTATTATTATGTATTTGAAGAAAGCAGCCTAAGATGTGCATATGTAAAACTTCCAGACACTGAAAATTCTTAATCTAAATTTATATTATAATACCTGACGGGAATAATTTACATTTATTCGGATTCTTTGAATGTTTTCATATTGCAAAATATAACTTTTCTAATTTTTACCAAAGTTTTAGTATGGCTCCTGTAACTTTTTGTGTCTTTCTTAGCTAATGATAATTGTTATTTATCATTATTTATGCTGTTTTAGGATTGCTTCTGAATACAAGAACTTTGTGTCCGAATAGTGTGGCAAAACAGTCATCAAAAGACCAAATTCTTAGCAAGTCAGTGAGCAGTAGGGAGAAAATTTGTTTAGTATTTTTATTACTCCATGTCATAAGGATGATCTTTAAAAAAAATCTTTTTGAAACAGGATTTCCCTATAGCACCATCTGGTCTGGAATTCACTATGTAAACCAGGTTGGCCTCAATCTCACAGAAATCCACCTGTCTCTACATCCCGAGTGCTGGGATTAGAAGTGTAGACTGCCATGGCTGGCTAAGGATAATTTTTTAAAACAATTTTGTTATTTTTATTTTATGTGAATGAGTTTTTGCCTGCATGAATGTAAGTGTACTATGTGCATGGAATACCCATGGATAACAGAAGAGGGCCTTGGAATCCATGGAACTAGAGTTATGGATAGTTATTTGCTGCCATGAGGGTGCTGTGAACAAGAGCAAGCCACTGCTCTTAACTTCTGAGTCATCTCTCAAGCCCTCAGAGGATAATCTTATCTTGGAGCATAGAACATCTTTTGAATTATTGCTTTAAGAAAAGTAAGTGAAAACACTACTATTATTATTTAAATTAATCATGCCTTATCATGCTATTCCCCTGAGGCTTAATCTATATTACAGGATTGTTACTTCTGAGAGTGAAGGGTTGTGAGGAAATAAATGTTCAAATGGGATGGTAATCATTGAATTAAGGTTTACTCAGTGCACCATCATACCACTCCTACAAACTGTCTCTGAGGAAATATATTGGAGCACAATATTATAAAGTAAAAATAATATAAACTGTCATAAAGGAATATTAAAATATATCTGGAAGGAAGAGATCTTGGAAAGAAATATAGTAAATCTCTAGTCACTGACAGGCGTGATAGTAACTGATTTTCTAAGTAATGCTTCTTTTGAATTTTCAAGTGATTTCTCTCAACATCACTATATATATTCTATTCATAAACACAACAAGCCATCGCTCATACTGTTCTTGTAGCACTTCCTATGAGTTAAAATTCTTCTTTGTGTAATTTATTTTTTCTCAGAAGCCTGGCTTTCGACAGGGAGTCTAAGTTATGTCCATCTCCTGTTTCCCAGAGACCATTCAGTCCACTAATCATGCACACATTCAGCAAATGTTTTCAACACATTTTATGTCTAAGCACCGGGCATTGGTAAAAAGGGATACACCAGTTATTGATGAGACTTTGTAGTAACTGAGGAAAATGAAAGGTGAACAAGCTATTAACGAGAACCCAGTGTCCACAATGGCCCCCAGACATCTGTGGAAGGAGACATCTGCAGCACAAAGAGAAGTCATCACTTCCACTCTTAGGAGTCAGAGGAGGCTCTGAGGAGAAAGAGACCTGGAAGGAAGAATAGTCATCCAGAAGAATGATTGATAGCTGAGTCAGGGTTAGTGATGAGCAGGAACATCCTGAGAGACAAAGGCAAATGTAGAGACAAGTTAGAAAGGATACTGAGTATTCTGATAATGAGGTTAAATTTCATCGTCAAGACCCAAGGAAGCAGTAAAAGAATTAAGACTCATTTGACAGCTGCTTCTTACTAGCAACAAGTCACTATGGCATAATATTGCGAATTATAACCAGAACTAATGGAAAGAAGATAGCAAACAAGATAAAGACAGAAAAGACCAGGGCCTTGACAACACTGGGGCACAGGAAGAAGAGGATGAGATGAAAAGATAAAAATATAAATAAACAGGGCTGGAGAGATGGCTCAGCCATCAAGAGCACTGACTGCTCTTGCAGAGGACCTGGGTTTGATTCCCAGCACCCACATGGTGGCTATGAACTGTCTGTAACTCCAGTTCCAGGGGAGTCCAACACCATCTTCTGACCTCTGTGGCATTGCATGACACGAGTGCACCCACATACATGCAGGCAATACACTCATACACATAAAATAAAAATAATAAATAGAAAATATTAAAAAATAAATGGTAGAATCAACAGGATTTCACTAGGAGTGATACAGTGAGAATATGGAGGCCAGGAAGGCTCCCAAATCATAGTTAGAATCGACTTGGTGGTTGGAGTGTCATTCCAAAAATATAAAATATAGAAGTGGTTGATGACAAAGGCAGAGATGAGGAAACAGGGCTTGGGGTTTGTCTGTGATTTCAATGAGCATGCTGGGAATCCCAAAATATCATTGAAACTGGACCTAGACCTTGGGAAGCAGTCCTCCCTAGGAAAGAAATCTTGATTTGATATCATGAGCTCAGTCATTTGCCTTCTGTGCAGAGATAAAAACCCCAACCCTTAGGGCTGGAGAGCTGGCTCAGTGGTTAAGAGAACTGATTGTTCTTGTAGAGGACTTGGGTTTGATTTCCAGTGCCCACATTGTAGTTAACAATGTCTGTAATTCCAGTTCCAGGGTATCTAATGCCATCTTTTGACCCCTGAGAGCATTGCATGACATGGGTGTACTTACATATATGCAGACAGTACACTCATACTCATAAACTAAAAATAATAAATAAAATATTAAATAAACCCAACTCTCAGAATACTGATATGTATGTGTTGGGTAGAGGAAGAGATTAGCATGAATGAGTATCAGGAATCATCAAAAAAAATTGAGGAATGAGAACATTAAACAAATGGATTTCTCATTTCCCTCTACAGGGAAAATTCACACAGGAGATGGAGGCTGGAAACCATACCACCGTGACAGAGTTCATCCTTTTGGGGTTAACAGAGGATTCTACACTTTGTGTCATCTTCTTTGTGCTTTTCCTTGGAATATATGTTGTCACTTTAGTAGGAAATATCAGCATAATCAATTTAGTAAGAAGCTGTCCCCAGCTCCACACCCCCATGTACCTGTTCCTTAGCCACCTGGCTTTTGTGGATATTGGGTATTCCACATCGGTTACACCGATAATGCTTGTAGGTTTCATTGTACATGGAACGGCCCTCCCTGTGGCTGGCTGTGAAGCCCAGCTCTGTTCTGTGGTGACATTTGGAACAGCTGAGTGCTTCCTGCTGGCTGCCATGGCATACGACCGCTATGTGGCCATCTGCTCACCCCTGCTCTACTCTACACATATGTCCCCTCAGATCTGTATCCTCTTAGTTGGGGTTTCCTATGTGGGTGGCTGTGTGAATGCTTGGACATTTACTGGTTGTTTGTTAAGTTTATCTTTCTGTGGACCAAATCAGATAGACCACTTTTTCTGTGACTTCTCCCCTTTGTTGAAACTTTCCTGCTCAGATGTCTCCATTGTTGGAATCATTCCCTCCGTCTCTGCAGGGTCCATCATTGTGGTGACAGTGTTTGTTATCAGTGTCTCCTACATCTACATCCTCATCACCATCTTAAAGATGCGCTCCACAGAGGGCCGCCAGAAGGCTTTCTCCACCTGCACCTCCCACCTCACTGCAGTCACTCTCTATTATGGAACTATTACTTTCATATATGTGATGCCCAAATCCAGTTACTCAACTAAGCAGAACAGGGTGGTATCTCTGTTATATACAGTGGTGATCCCCATGTTGAACCCACTTATCTACAGCCTGAGGAACAGAGATGTAAAGGAGGCCCTTAGGAAGGCAACCATCAGAATATATTCGTAGAATCTGTCCTGTGAATAAATCCGCAAACATTTCATGCAGTCATGTGACACTTCATATCTACTTAACTGATACTTAACTGAGAGCTTAAGTTAGCCTTTTTACTCTGTTCTCATTCTCACCCTTACATATTAATAATTATTAGTAATTATTATTAGTATTATGAATTCCTGCATATGATAGGAACTACTCCTAATTTATGTATCAAACAATAATTTGCACTTGCTGTGTGTCATCTTCCTTCTGAATATATTACATATACAAACACTACAACCTGATGAGTTGATATCATTAGTTTTATTTTTACAAGTAAATTGTCTAAGGAAGTAGTTAGTAGGTTATCATACTTATGTATATAAGTACTTCTAAGACTAGCACTTGAATGCAGTCTTTTCCCACCACCTCTACTTGCATGATTAATTTTGACAATAGATATATCAAGCTGGCTTTAAAAACTGCCTTAGCTCACAGATGAGAAAACAGTGAGAGACTGACCTCAGAGAGATCAAATAGGTTGTCTAGATTGGCATGGATTCAAGTCCTCTGATTCTATATTACAGGACCTGATCTTATACTGACCCAGTACAATCAGTCCATGATTTTGGCACTGCTAATGACTTATGTTTCTTTGTAGTTATGAGGCCTCTATTGGAACATTTTGTCAAATGTTTGGACAAATTGTATGCAAAGATATCCTGTGTTATATAACACTGAGATAAGGGCAAAGTTGTGAGAGATGGATTAATTCATTTCTTTATTTCTAATTTTTCTTTTTTAGGTAATTGGGTCTTGAAATCATGATCACACCATGGTTGTGAAATTCCCATGGTGCTTGCATATACATTCAGAGCAAATAAACCACTTACCATAATTAAACTTTTATTTGTACAGATTTAAGAGTATTTAATTTAATTTTATAGAGTATTTTGTATGTATATCATAATTTGATTATTTGATGTTTTTATTGGTCTTTCCAATTTTACACATCTTGATCATATTTATACCGCTCTCCCCTATCTGCATTCCCACAGAGCTCCCCTTCCATATTTTATGCATTCTTTCTTATAGATTAAGGTTTATCAAGTTTTTTACCCCAAATACGCCTTGGTGTGAGTCCATCCACTGGAGCTTAGTCAAACTATCTAGCATCATTCTCCTGAAGAAAACAAACTCTTCCTCTCCTAGTAGTCATTGGCTGTCTATAGTTCCTCAGCTAAGGTTAGTGCTTCTTTCCTATTTGCCACATTCCTGTGCTGGAATTTGGTCTGGATTCTGCTTGCAAGAGTCTTGTGCATGTTGTCACCATTGTTATAAGTTCATATGAAGAAGTTCCCAGCCATCTCAAAAACTGGTTTTCATTGTGGTCATCCATCACCTCTGGTGGTTACAGTCTGTCTGCCCCTTCTCTCATAATGGTCCCTCAGTATGTGGGGCAGGGATTTGGTCTAGGTGTTCTACCCAATCTCAAACATTCTTCAGTCCCTTATTGGCCATTCCTGGCACTCTGGGTTAATTATCATCTGTTGCATGAAGAAGCTTTTCTGGTGAGAGTTGAAAGATGAATTGATATTCTTTCTGCCTCCTGCCCTGCTATGTTCCTGGAGCCTTAGGTATAGAGGTTGTATTGTAGATGTGTAACTTAGGGATGAGCATCTCACAGACACTTGTTCTCTGAGTTTGACCAATTGTGGAACTCTGTAATAGTCTTTACCTGTTGCAAAAAGAATCTTTTTAAGTGAATGATGAGAGATAGTTGTCTGTAAATATAAGGATAACTAGTTAGAATACAATAATATCTCATGTTGGCCTGAGGATATAACAAAAGATTTTTCTCATTGTTACCACTCTAACAATGTATATTTGGCTATGTTTACAATACCACACATGACTTACCTCCCATTGAGTGGACTTTAAGCCCAATTAGATAGCAGTTTATTAGCCTGAGCACAAATTGAAAGACTGGTAGGATTACCATAAAAATGTTAAACCATATTACAGAGTTATGGTCATAAAAACAGGATGGTACTGGTACAAAAACAGACACATAGATCAATGGAACAAAATAGAAGACCCAATTGGCAATTTTAACCTCCTGATATTTGATAAAGTTACCAAGAACACACAATGGAGGAAAGACAGTATCTTCAAATAACAATGCTTGCAAAACTGAATCTCTATGTGTAGAAGAATGAAATTAGATCCATGACTATCACCTTGAACAAAAATCATGTCCAAATGGATCAAAGATCTCAATGTTAAACCTGAAGTGCTAAAGTTGTTAGAAAAAACATATACCTTCCCTTATAAGATATAGGCATGATAAAGGACTTTCTTAATCAGACATCAGTCACTCAGGAATAAAGGTCAACAACTGACAAATAAGACCTCATTAAACTACAAAGATTCTGTACAGCAAATGGAATGACCAATTGAATGAAGAGGAAGCCCACAGGTGGGAGAAAAATTTCACCAGCTTTACATTTGACAGAAGATTAATATCCAGAATATAGGAAGAACTCAGAAAACAAAGAATTGAGAAAGCAAAGGACCCAATTCTTAAAAGGGCTATAGATTTGAACGGAGAACTTTTAAAAGAGGAAATAAAAAATAGATAAGAAACACCTTAAAAAGTGTTCAACATTTTTAGTAATTAGAGAAATACAAATCAAATATGCTTTAAAATTTCATCTTAAATGTATCCAGTTACCTCAGTCAGAATGGCTAATACCAAGAGAACTGTGCTGGATAGCTTTAGTGTCAACTTGACACACCTGGGTTGAGGGAGCCTCCATTGGGGAATTTCCTCTATTGACTGGCCTGTGGTCATGTCTGAGGGGCATCTTCTTGATGAGTGATGTGGGAGGGCCCAGCCCACTGTGGGTGGTACCACCCCTGGACAGGTGGGCCTGTGTTGCATTAGAAAGCAGGCTGAGCAGGGGTCAGGGGAACAAGTCAGTAAGCAGTGTTCCTCCATGGCCTGTACTCCAGCTCCTGCCTCCAGTTTCCTGCAATGAGTTCCTACCTTGGGCTCCCTGATGAACTGCGACCTGGGAGATGTAAGACAAATAAACCCTTTCCTCCCCAAGTTGGTAGTGGTCAGAGTGTTTTGTCACAACAATGGAGAAACAAACTAAGACAAGAACAAATGATACCAAATGCTGACAAGGATGCGGGGAAAGAGGAACTCTCATTCACTGCTGGTGAGATTGCAAACTGGTGCAACCACTATGGAAATCAGTGCTTAGAGTTCTTACAAAACTAAAAATAAATCTACCATATGATCTGATTATACCACTTTTTGGCATAGACCCAAAGGACTTATTCAACTGCTGAGATACTTGCACAACCCTGTTTGTTTGCTGCTCTTTTCGCAATAGCTAAGACATGGAAAAAATAAACCCTAAATGTCCCTAAATGCACCAATGAATGGATAAGAAAAATGTGCTATATTTACACAATTGAATTCTACTCAGCCAGTAAAAGACCTGATGTCATGAAACTTGCATGTAAATGGGTGGAACTAGAAATTGTTATACTAAGTGAAGTTACAGAGAGTCAGAAAAGCAAGTAAAGAATGTTCTCTATGATTTGTGAATCTTAGGTCCAAATCCTTAGATGTGAGAACAAGGGTATTTTAAAGCTAAGCACTTGGGGCTGGAGAGATGACTCATCAGTTAAGAGCACTGACTGCTCTTGCAGAGGACCTGAGTTTGATTCCCAGAACCCATATGGAAGCTAACAACTGTTTATAACTCCAGTTCCAGGGGATTTGATGCCTTCTTCTGACCTCCGCAGGTATTGAATGACATGGGTGCACTTACATACGTGCAAGCAATACACTCACTCACATAAAATAAATAAATAATAATAAAATACTTTAAAAAGCTAAGCACTGCAATTTGTTGCTTTTATACAATCATCTGTTTATAGGTCTTGGTCTATAAAGTAAAATTTGCAAACAAAAACTTAGAAATTTTTCACAGATTGGAGTTCACATTTTTCTTCTGGAAAAAAACATCTTTCACTTGTGTCATCATCATTGTGAGTCAGGAAGTAGTGATGTAAGATTTGTTGCACTATGGAAACTCAAAACCAAATCCTGAAACAACTGGTCATGGCATTTGAAACCTGAACAGAATTCAATTGTCCATATTCAGTGAAATGGGTGAAAGATTTGAAAAATCTTTAAAATATTATCAACTGGAGGCTAATCTTAATTCTTTTAAATACTTTTCAATGAAAATTCTAAGCAAGGCTGAGTGGCAGCATGGATAACTTACAAGTATAAAAATTGTTCTATTTTTAATTTCTACTTCAATATATTATTTCACATAGGAAATACTAAAAATGAAGAAAACTGAGTGAGCAAAATTGCTCAGCAAGTATATCCACTTGTGGCTAAGTCCTCTGACCTCCTTCCACACTCATGCACTCATGAACATGAACAGATATTTCTGTAGTAGTGTATAAACTCCCCAATTACCTCATGTCCTATAGCATCACGTCAGGCTATGGGAGCCTCTTTTATTGATTCTTTGAAAGTTTTCTCTAGTTTAAGCAGTTGATATGGTGAGTAAACTGTGATTATCATAGTTTTCTCAGTGGACAATTTTTAAAGTCACTCTCTGCATGCTTAATTATAAAATTTCCCATGGCTTCTATTAAACATCATATTAAGATTATAATTTATCAATATATTTCATATTCTCTCTCCTCATTATCTGATTTTTCCCAGGAGTTCCAAGATTTTGGATCCCAGGAAGGACTGTTTATCACAGTTCTAACAACTATTTCTGCTTTGCAAGTTGTCAGCCTTAAGGAGGAGCAAGCCAACACTTCCAGCTCATCCTTCCCTTTTCCCAACATTTGTTGCAAGAAGAGAGGATAATACAATGGATAGCACTCAAATGACTTTTTTCCTGATATAACTCCTCCTTTATGTGTGCAAGTTATTTTTGAAGAGATAACTAGTTCTCAATTACAGTATGGGAATTGCAAGTTTT